TCACACCATCGACCTTCCCCGTTGGCCCGGGGAATCTCCGCCTCCTTTGGAGACGTCCAAGAGACCTCTCCCCATCCCGTGGAGGTGGTTCCGCCACTCGTCTACCCGCGAACCCTCCCTCTGGGACTACTCAGAAATGGCAGAATCACCCAATAACCACTCCGACGAGTGCAGAGGGGTTCAATAGCCACCAAACCCACTCCCTCCTAATACCACTCACCCACCGAGCATCTCTACACCTTCTGGTCGCCCATCGGCCCAACGACCTAAGCCGACGGTGGGAAACGGTGGGTCTTCAAAAGCACCGTTTCCCACCGTTGGCCTAGGCATCTCCGCCTATTCTATGGGCGTCTAGGAGACCTCTCCCCACCCCATGGAAGTGGTTCTGCCGCTCGTCTTCCTGTGCACCCCCCTCCAGGATTGCTTTTTGGAAATGGCAGAATCACCGGGAGGCTGCTCCATTGGGTGCGAAGGGGGGTTCGATGGCGACCAAACCCACTCCCTCATAATACCACTCACCCACCGAGGAGCATCCCACCACCTTCTGGTTGCCCATCGGCTCAATGGTGGTTCTTCAAAAGCGTCGTTTCCCACCGTTGACCTTCCTTGTTGGCCTGGGGTATCTCTGCCTCCTCTAGGGATGTCTAGGAGACCTCTCCCCACCCCGTGGAGGTGGTTCCGCCGCCTGTCTACCCCTGCACCCCCTCCGAAACTGCTTCTCGAAAATGGCAGAATCCCTTGGAGGCCGCTCCAGCGGGTGCTAAGGGGTCCGATGGCCACCAAACCCACTTCTTCCTACTGCCGCTCACTCACCGAGCATCCCAACACCTTCTAGTCGCCCATCTGCCCGACAACCCGGGCCGACGGTGGGAAACGATGGTTTTACAAAAGCACCATTTCCCACCATCGGCCTTCCCCATTGGCTCGAGGCATCTCTGCCTCCTCTAGGGATGTCTAGGAGTCATCTTCCCACCTCGTGGAGGTGGTTCCACCTCCCATCTACCCCTGCACCCCTTGGGATCACTTCTCGGAAATGGAAGAATCACTCGGAACCCGCTCCAACAGGTGCAGAGGGGTTCGATGGCCACCAAACCCACTCCCTCCTATTGTCACTCACCCACTGTGCATCCTGACACCTTCTGGTTGCCCATCTGCCGAATGGTCGGACCAACGATGGGAAACGGTGATTCTACAAAAGCACAATTTTCCACTGTCGGCCTTCCCCGTTGGCCCGGTGTATCTCTGCCTCCTCTTGGGACGTCTAGGGGACTTCTCCCCACCCCGTGGAGGTGGTTCCACCACTCGTATCCGTCTACCCCTGCACCCCCCTCTGGGGCTGCTTCTCGGAAATGAAAGAACCCTCTCCCTTCTACTGACACTCACCCACCAAGCATCCCAACACCTTCCAATCACCCATCGGTTGGACGATGAGGGGATATAGGCACTCAGTGTCCTAAGCCTTTCGAACATGAAGGAATATGGTTTTAAATAGAAGGAGCATTTTCATACAAAAGCATGTGACGTATACATGAGGTGGAGTTGAAAATAAATGCTGATTTATTAATTGGATTTGACGTGGATTTCAGTTTTCGTACAAGGTTAATGGCAATTTTGATTTCTGCGATGGAGAGATCGATGAAAACCTCTATATTATATTTATATTTAAAATTATAAATAAAACATTTTATATATTATATTATATATGAATATATATATATATATAATAAATTCAGTATGTTATATTTACATTAATTTATTATATAAAAGTCGAAAAGTATTTAAAATTTTTTTACACTAAAAAAACGAACAAAGTAGAGTAGAATTAAATCCAGATCTGATCTAAATCCATTAGGATTTGAAGTTGAATCCAAGGTCGTAAATTCTGATCAGATTTTATATCGGATTCTGATGCACATTTTTACTAATCAAATCGAATTCAGATTTTGATGAACCCGATCTGAATCCAATCCAATTACATCCCTAATTTTTAATCGATATCTATCAAATATGCAGGTAGAAATTTAAACACCACTGCCCATGAGCTACCATATAAAACATGTAAATAAATATTAGTAGGTGGCAAATGGTGGCAGCCAAAATGTATTAGATGCTTTGAGCTATGATATCTAATTCCTCTCTCTTTAGATTTTCTTTTGGCAACAGGAAAGCTTAAACAGAAATTTCCAGGTTCATACATGCACCTTTAATTTACAAGTTGTTTTATAAAAAAAATAATAATTTACAAGCAAAAAATAAAAGACTTAAGTTGTGGGCATCTGAATCATGTATCGAGAGTTTTGCTTAACCGGTGTTCAGATCACTGAGTTTTATTTGGGCATTATGGTCAAAGAATTGAGAGATGGCTGACGTATATCACGTCTGCCAAATTGTAGTGGTATTTTGATTTTAGTACTGTTTTTTCAGCGGTTGGATGTCAACATTCAGGTGTCAGGAGGTTTTATTTTTGAGGGGGGGGGGTTCAAAGTCATTTTTCCATTTTATATATTATAAATTAATAAATATGCATTATATATATAAATATATATACTTATAATAATATATTATTTATTATTTAAAATATAATATTTTATATATATTTATAATTTTTTATTATATATTTATATATTTTTTTATAATACATATTATAAAAATTAAAAATCGAAAAATCGATGAACCAATCGATCGATTAACCGATTGTCTTTGATTCGGTTTCAGTTACTGGTTTTTCAAAAATCAGTAGTACCGATTTGATTACCGAACCATGAGCACCCCTATTGTTTATTTTAAGAATGACAACGGGACAGGTTTTGAGTGGCAACCATACTCCCCATCCCCGGCTCCAACTTTGAAACAAACCCCCATTCGTGATCCGATACCAATCAAAGATAAAAATGATACTCCATCCCTGATCCTGATGATGGGTTCCTCATTGGGACCCAAAGTCTTAGAATTTTAAATTAAAAGTTGCTTGAAAATTAAATTTATTTAAAATATAAATTAAATTTTATATATTTTAATATATATACCCACTATTATTTATTAGAAAAATTTATGGTCTCTATCAACAAGATTAACCAAGATTAACACCATGTTTATAGGCGTGCCTGTAGTGAACCACGTGCTCTCTATCAACCAAGATTGATACTATATTTCTGAATATTGGTTTTCTTCTGCGTTTAAACGCATTGGAGATTGGACTTTTTTCATTTGCTTATGGCCTTGATTGCTTTGAAGTCATCTCTTTTAGGCGGCGTTTGGTAGGATTGAATCGACCCATGAATTTTGAAATCTTTTCTTTTCAAAGGCTGGATAATTGTTCAGCTAAACATCTCAAAACATATCTGAATTTTGAAATTTACTCCTAAATTTTTAAAATTTGATTCATCTCTAAATAAATTCAAAACTAAGTTGAGAGGTTAACTGAACAATATTGTCCTTCAACTCAAACAACAATATATAATGTAACATATCTATATATAAAGTATATTATATTAAAATATGATAATATATAAGATATATTATATAATATAGCATTAGAATAAAGCATAATATTATTTATGTTAATATAATATATAATATACTTACATCATATTATTACATTATATGTAATATAACAATATATTTTCTATGGTGAGAAAGCTGTTCTTCAAAATATAGCATTATACCGTTAATTACTCCTATCACCTTTCTATCTTATATTATAAAAATATTATATTATATTCACTTTATGTTTTTAATTCACTTTTTAATTTTTTATTTATAAAATAGTTAAAATTGTAATTTAGGGCCGAAAAAGGGATTCTTTTGGTAAAGATCTCGAAAAACTATCCAAAAAAATCATCCCAATTAGATATTGAAACACAGTTCTGACCTTCACAAGTTTGCATACATATTTAGTGTACAACTTATGATCCCGTCACTGGGTTGAATGGGTCAATGGCACAACCACCTGGATTGGACAGTTTTTTTACCTGATCAATTGTTTTTGACAAATTTCTGACTTTTACTAGGACTGAAACCAAAATCATGGCAGGGAAACGGTCCAAAGGGTACAACCGGCTAGATTAATACCAGGTTGAATACACTGCTTACAACTCACAATTTGCACAAATGCTCTCTGCAACGAAACTCTTCACAAAATCTTTTCTTTTCCTTGGGTAAGGCAAGACGATCATAGTTGCAGAAGTTTTCCCGCAACTGCCCAATAGAACAGACAAGCTAGCGACTGAATAAACAAAAAAAAAAAAAAAAAAAAAACAGATCACTACTCGATAATTCAAATTTAAAAGTATCCATGCAACTAAGGGTGTCAATGGACCAGTTTTGGGTTNTCAATGGACCAGTTTTGGGTTGGATCCCGTCCAATCCAAAATCAATTTAAACGGATTGGACGGACCAACAAGCCATTGGATTGGGCCTGGTCCATCCATAATAAATTTATATTGGATTGGATTGGATGAAGCCAATATCTAGTCCATTGATATAAGACGGAGAATGATGGTTCAATCCAATTGGGATAGGTGCCAGCTCGAAATTGATGCCAATTAACGGGCAGGCATTGGTGTATAGGGTGGGGGTATTTGGCATTTTGAAATTTTATAAGTATGCAGCGTACTTTTCCGTATAAGAGATGCAAGGCAGTTTATTATGGATGGACCAGGCCCAATCCAATGGCTTGTTGGTCCGTCCAATCCGTTTAAATTGATTTTGGATTGGACGGGATCCAACCCAAAACTGGTCCATTGATATAAGACAGGGAGAATGATGGTTCAGTCCAGTTGGGATAAGTGCCAGCTCGAAATTGATGCCAATTAACGGGCGGGCATTGGTGTATAAGATGGGGGTATTTGGCATTTTGAAATTTTATAAGTATGCAGTGAGCTGCAGCGTACTTTTCCGTATAAGAGATGCAAGGCAGTGGCAGCATGCATTAGTTCCAAATATGTTAGGTGCATCCGGAACCATTTTACCATTTAATTATAATTTTATAGAAATAAAAGTGGTACATAAACAATGGCCTCTCTCTCAGGTGTAAGGTTAAGTGGATTATATGTTCACAGTTAAAAGCCTAACAACTAGACAATATACATGTATGAAATCCGGAGTGAAATGGAACAAGAGCTGTGAATCTCTGTACAAATACAACAAAAGGAATCTAAATTCCAAATATGTATAAGCTAAAAAACAAAAAAACTACTATCAAGTACAGTGTCTAATCAGCAGCATTGTTAGGGGTGGATATGGAAGGATCCCCAGGCTTAGGCCTGCTAAACGATTTCTGAGTTTCCAACACAGGCATGTACGCTGCAGTTGTTTTCTTAAAGATATCAGCAGCCGGTTTCTCGGATTCACGGGGACTCACCAGCTTTTTCTCAACATCTTCGAATTTGGCAGTGGCCCATGGTGCCGTGCCCACATTCCCAACAACACTGAGTGGTTCTATCGTCATTGTGGATGCTTCATCTCGAGAAGCATACCATGTATTACCACATGCAATACATTCCAACTGGATGTACAACAAAAAATTTAATAAAAAAAAGTCAGGTTGAATTCAACAGAAACATAATTTTCTTTGTGCTGGACCAAAGAATAGAGCATTATCTAAGCCATGGACTCCACATCTTGACTAATTTATCCATGTTAGTAGTAAGCTCATTTGGTTAAATTCATGGATAGAAACTTGACTTGTACGGCTCAGTTTGGAAGGAGTACATATTCTTATTTGTACACTGTACATATTCTTATTTGTACTCTTTCCAAACTAAACCCGGGTCATGCAGATAAAAATAGACTGATGCACCCTCCCCCAACCCACAAAATTCTATTATTATTTAGGTGAAAAGCATAATTTTCCATGCACTCAACAAATTTATCAAGGATATATTGGAAATGGAAAAAACTAAAAAAAAAAAAAAAAAAGATGCATTATAATGTAAACCCAGAATCAAGTGCAAAATCCCTCCTTGTAAAAAGGGCCAACATCCCCAGCAGTAAAAGCCCAATCCATGAGACTGGAATAAACAGAAAAAAAAAGTGAAAAATAGTAAATAATGGAAACAAATGATCTACCCCTCCCACCGCTTTTGTAAATGCTACATCTGTACAGGATTTGAATTTTGAATACCCTATTTATTTATTTGATCAACTGAGTGAACTTCATCAGTACAAAGATAATTGCATTTTGTTAGAGAGAATATATATAAAGAATCAAGAACATTACACAGAGATTATGTGCACCCTTACGCTCGTAACTTCTAGACCATTATTTTCCACTACAAGTCCAAATTGGTTGGACCTAAGTACAATACACCCCATCTATCGAAAAAAGTATAATACATCCAATTAACGTGTTCCCTGGCAAGAATCCACTCCTATTACTGGCTTAAATTGTTCCATTCAACAGCTGTTCTTTGGATGATTTGGGGGCAACAAGAAAAGGAATAGCACTAGTGCAGTCTTTATATTGCAGGAGCATAATTTTTTGAATTTTGTTCTGCTTTAATTTCATGGGTCTGACCAATGCCCCCCCAATTTCAAATCCACCTAATCCAAATATAGACTCAAAGATTACAAAGGCAACAAAACAAGACCCATTGGTATTGGAGACTCAAAGAAGTTGTGGAACAAATTCGGTGTATATACAGTGATGATCCTTGGATTAGTGTTTTACAAGCAAGAGGCTCAAGGAAAGTACAGTACAAGGGCCTGCCTCTAGCACCCAAGGCACAAGGCTCAAGATGAGGCATGCACCTGGGCACAGCAAGGTGCAAATTTTTGAAAAAAAAAAATAAAAAATATCAATACATAAAATATGAAAATCTAAATTATTCATCAAAAAAAATGAAAATCTAAATTTTTAAAAGTTGAATGTTTTAAAACATTTTAGCTTACACCAAAATGCATACGCATAACATATAAAACAAATTCAGAAAAAAGACCTTAAAAGTTGCTTGCATGTCCCCTCAGGTATTTTTTGTGTATTGCAAGTGGAGGAACTACATACCACCTCTAATCTACAGCCCTTGTGATTTCATCCTAACAAAAATCTCCCCTATAGTTTTGAAAAAAAAAGTTGCAAATACTTCCTTTTTGTAAGCTTTTCAATAACAAAGATATTGAAGTTACCAAAATACCCTTGTTGTTAAGCTGTTATTTTACATAATCTAAAGTTTCAACTTCACCCTCCACTAATTTATTTTACCTGAGAACTTTCAAAAGAGTGATTCTCTCTACTAATCTTGGACGAAGTAAGGTTAAACGGCAAAAGTGAAGTAAAAGGAAGCAAATCCTTTTTTTCAAGATATTTTAGTAAATTTACATCTGAATGAAGTTGGTTAAGGGTAAATTTAATATTTAAAAAAATAATGCATTGCATCAACATTTTCCATTTGAAACACTAACAACAGGTATTTGCACCTTTTCTCAAAACAATGGGAGAGGTTTTTGTCAAGGTCAAAACACAAGGGAGGTTCATAAATTGTTAGAAAACCCAAGGAGGTTTTTATAATTTTTCCTATTTTAAATGGAATTTAAATTAATTAAACTATATTTAAAATTAATAAAATTTCATTAATTTTTGTTTTTATTAATCCTTACTAACTTTAAGCTGGTTTTAAATTAGTAGAAATTAGTTATAAATTAATAATTGTTAGATAATTTTGAATTAGTTTTATATTAATTTTAAATGAATCTTAAATAGATATTAGTTTTCAATTTATCTTATTTCTTTTCATTAATTAATTTGTTTATATTATATTATAAAAAATTTTTATCAATAATAACAATTAATAATTATTTTTGTTTGATTTAAGTAATTTACAAAATTATTTTTACTATGTTTAATTAATTTTTATTATTTTCAAATGGAATATAATACTTTGAGGTTTTTCTCAATGTTTTCAACACACCATTGACTTGGATTGAACCGTTCAAATCATGAAACGACCCTATTTATAATTCCAGGTTTCCTAAAACCCACTATTTTGTCAAAGCCGTTGACCTGGTCAAAACCTGTTCGACTTGGGCAATTAAACCATTGATCCTTTTGACATCATTGGGTCACGAGTTACAATATACAATGTAATGAGAACTTATGGAGGACCTAACTTTGTGCTTGCTTGTCCAATTCGGTGATTTATTTTTATTTTGAGTAACTTTTCACAATCTTTGCAACCCCATTATACAAAAAAATAAATAAATTGTTGGCCTCCAATTTCAATTTTCGGTCTTTTATTTGTAAAAAAATTAAAACTAAAATAAAAAGTACAAATTAGAAATATTATATACACATGTAAAATGTAATTATACTATATTAGTATTTAGTACAAATGGATAACGAGTCATGGTTTGACTCATCCAATTAGCTCAATTGAATCGTTGACCTGTTACCTAGAGCCAAAAACTATTCAGCCACTAATTAATTTTTATTAATAATTATAATTTAATGTAAATATATCTAATTATCTAAATTATAGTTTAAATTGAAATGGATATAGATATAGATAAAATTAATGAATTTAATGGAGTAATGGAGAGGAGAGAAAATTAGTGGCATGAGTTATTCAAGGAGTTAATGGCATAATTAATGATGAGGGATCATTAAAGGAGTTAATGAAAAAGAGGAGAGAGAGTTAATGGCACAAGTCTTAAAGGTGATTGGCCACTTGAGTTATTTTGTTCAATTTTAAAATTAGAAAATTCAGAAAAAAAAAACAGAAAAAGGTAAGTGCTTTTCAAGAACAACTAGAAAGAAGGAAGGTAACAGCTTGGCACATTCCATTTTAATATGTAGATATAAATGTGATAGAAAATGGCTCCTAGGCCATGTCACCTCTGCCATTTCACTAGAGAGGCTACGATTTTGGTCTCAAGATTGCATAGCTCATTCAAGTGGATCCAAAGATCAACCAACAAAGTTGTGGATATTCCAGCTAGAGGTGTTACTCGGGATAAAATTGCACTGGGGACAACCAGAGGGGATATATAGGGTTCTCTTTGGGTGTAAAAGGGGCAATAAGCCTGGAACATAGTCCAGCCAGGGTGTGGATTTTTCCTCTTCCCCCTTCAGCTGGATTCTGTTTTTCACAAGAAAATATTCTGATATTGTTACCAACCAATATAGAAGGCTCAACTATTCTGCCCCAGGTACAATCAGGTCTCTTTCATTATCCTCTAAAAGAGATACTTCAAAAGTTTTCCTGGTCTTATTTCCAAGCAATTTCATCCCTTTATTCTGGAAAAATTAGGAGCATCTCAAACTTCTGAAAAAGGAAAGGCATTCATTAGTCTTCCCCCATTCAAAAACCACCTATTAGAAGTGATTCTTAAAACCACTGAAGCACCAATGATGCAGTAGAATTTGTCAAAGATTGTTTCTAATTTGTTAACAAGCACACTAAAAATGTTTATCCCCCCCCCCCAATCATCCTCCTAAAATTGGGTCCTTGATCTCTCCCCAAACCTTCAATTCTTTGGAAAACATACTTGTCAGATCAGTTACAAAACTGTCAACAGTATCTCTTATGGTTCCTTATGTTTGTTGCATATTTCTTTCTGTAAGATTGACATGTAATGTAGGATTGAAGGTGAAAGAGAAACAATAGAACCTGATATCGGTCTCCACGTCCCCCTGCTTGAATGATGTCTGTTAGACCCACTTTTTTCTCCATGCATCTTGAACATCGAGCATCTGTCATCTGCTTCAAGATCCAAGTAACACAATAAGCACCAGCCTAGTTCATGAAGATGGTCTACCAAACAAATATAGAAAACAAAATAACGATGTTTTTACCTGCATGCGCTCAGATTCTTCAGGCTCCTTGGTTGCTGTCTCTTCTGCTGTAAGACCCTCCTGAAATAAAGATAAATCAAGTCAATAGATGCCCCTTACTATACAAAGGAAATCTGTAAGTACATACCTCCTGTAATATCATGGAAACCCAATACCATGGGCCACAAGAGGCATTCATTAGTCTTCTAGTTTTTTTTTTTTTTTTGAAAGATGACATTAGTCTTCTAGTTGGATATAGAAGATAGTAATTTATGTTTTACCATACACAGATGGGTTAAAAGGAAACTCAAATGTTTGAGGAAAAACCATGTTCCAATGAGAAATGCTTGAGCCAATTATTTATTTGTTTCTTTTAATTTCCAAGTGCCTTTTATTAATTAAGCATTTCAGATGCCAAAATTACAAATAGAAACTTTAATAGTAAAAGTGATATTAGTTTGTCTTAAAGTAATAAGTTTTTTTTTTTCTTTTAAGGTTGTTTTTTCTAGTTTTCAGTTCTAACAACTGGTAAAAGGCCTAGCAAACTCGTATAGTTGGGAGAAGGCATCGTAGAGCTGGGTTGAGTATTTACTTCTTTTAGGCAGTAATTTCAAGTTTATGATTGGTGCTACCAGGGGATGGGCTAATCTGATCCAAGTGAGATTCCAAAACCTTCTAGTTCAAGGCTGTTTATGTAACAGCTATTTGTGTAAAGGCCACTTCATTGAACTGAATATTGCCTTTTGTGAACAAGTCATTAAGTAGGTCGCAAGCTCTTTAATGGATGGATGAATGGCATTTTGAGGGACTACAGGAGACCTAAATATTTCCTCATATGTCTATTTTATCCATCAAATGGAAAAACAAGAAGTCATTAAGCCTGGCAATTTGCTGTCATGATTGCCAATTGAAATGGTTAGAACTTTAGACCTGCTACAGGGTGATATGACATTGTCCTTAGAAAGCAGGTAATGCCATTTAAGCTAATTACCCTATCCCATGTCATAGAGTTGCATTTGGGGAAGATGTTTTGTGCGGAGATTCTCCTCTTTGTCAGCAGTACCCAAGGTTTAAGGTTGTACTTTTTTGAGAAAAGTGTCCAAGGTTGTACTCACTTTCAAGATTAAGCACAAATCTATTTTAGATGTGCTTTCTTTTCCCTCATAGGTTTATCCTGGAATTTTGGGTTTAGAAGGGTTTTATGGAATCATGAAAGTGTGGAAGTGATAAACCTACTTGTTAACCTTAAAGATGTATTTTTTCACTCAATAAGATAATGATGATAGGGTTTAGGCAATCAACCCTAGGGTAAGACCTTGGTCTCTTAGGTTTCAGTTGAGAGAAGTAAAACTGATATGGGCATACCAGTATGGTCCGGGAATCAACCGAGGAGTATTTTGAGTTCTTTTAGAAAAAAAGAAAAGGAAAGTAAGATAATTTCATTAAAAAGGACCAGGAAAAAACTGAAACCCCCAAAGTGCTATGCAGTAAGAGGCTGTACAAAAGGTATCAAGGACCAAGCAGACAAAACAAAAACTAGCCCGTCGGCTCAAAAGAAGATAGGAAGGAATTGAAAGATAAATATCACTGCAGCAAATATGCACTTGAACTCCAGGATTAGACCAGTCCAACTGCTCTTCTTACAGCCTCATCCTCCTGGGAAGATCTGCCATCAAAAATCCTAAAGTTTCTTTCCATCCACAAGGCACATACAAAGCAGCCAGAACAGCCCCCCAAATTGTCTCATCCTTCTTGCTTAAACCTGCTAGATGTCATTCCTCAACAGCTTCTTTGACATTTAGAGAAGGCCCAGGATACTGCTAGGAAACTATGAAAGAAAGACTTCATCCCTGAAGTATAAGGGCAATGAATGATAAGATGGTCCCTAGTCTCCCTTGGGTACTTGCACAAAGTACAGAAAGAAGAAAGACAGATATCCCCATTTTAAAGGTTCCCCTTTGAGAGACATCTTTCAAGAACAATGGTCCAAATCAAGAAAGAAACTTTTGATGGGATTTTTTTTGATAATCAAAGAAACTTTATTAGAAGAGAAAAAAGCGTAGAAGAGAGAGGTGACAAGCAGTCACCACAAAGAAAAAACTTTTGATGGCATTGCCAGACACAAACAGTTTAAGCAGAAAAGGTGTTACCTCTCATGGTGAGTCATAGTTGTCAAGGCGTCGCCGCCTAGGCGCCTGGCTGGGCGCCTCGCCCAAACGCCTTGACTTTTAGCAACTAGGCGCCCGCCTAGGCGACAAAAATGACAAGGCAGGCGCCTTTTATAATATCATTTATATTGTTGTATCTTATTAATGCATGTGGTTAATACATTTTATTATATGCTATATATATCAATTATATTTTGTTGTAATGTTTTACTACTGAAATTTAAAAGATCAAAGGGTTTTGAGAAGAGAAAAAGAAAGAAAAGAAAAGAAAGGGGAAAGAAACAATAGAATAATAAAGTTCTTTTTTTCTATTCTCTCTCTAATTAAATAAAACAAAAACTCCATCCTTGTTTTTTTCTATTTTACTTTCCATCTTGAATATTTATCATATAAAGTTAATAACCTTCTTTAGCTGCTAATTAATATGAGTTTGCTCTATTAAATACTTATATAGTAGTATTATTTTTGAAAATAATGAAATTAATATATGTAAAAGATTTTTATCTATTAGATGTGATGATTTGCCACATTTTTAGAGGAAATTCAATGTTCTTAATAAAGAGAATTGTTATTTATCAATTAACATACATGCTGAATGGTATATAAAACTAGGAAACTAGCCAAAAGCCAGTTTTTCATACTATAAATTTTTATCGCCTAGGTGACCAGGCGACTAGGCGCCCCAGTGTCGCCCAAAATCACCTAGACGCATTGAAAACTATGTGGTGAGTATGATTCTGGCTCATGACTTTAGTGAAAGGATCCATTCTTGTCCCAAATCCAGATTCTTCTGCCATCCGCTTGGGTTGTGGTATGAAGATTCAGCAGAGCAGCTACATCCCCACCTCCCAACCATGAAGTTTCTTCAAAACTGGGGGACCAGTCTAGAAAAGGTAAAGTATATTGCAATAGTATCAAAAAATCAAAGGTCTCGTACAATGAGATGCCGTACTGAAATAATCACATTTATGGTCCCCAAAAAAAGTTGCAGAAAAAACATCGTCTTTAAATACATTTGTTATAGACATCCAACCCCTTAGTTCCTCCACTAAAAAATTAATAACACCAGCCTCAGATTTTGCTTTCTTCTGAATCTGCTCAAAGACCCTATTAATTCTTTTGTTTGAAATGGCCCCCAAAAATGCACTTGGGATAGCTGACCGTAGGTATCTTCCTTTTTTGGACATGCCTGAGACCTTCCATCCTTGAAACAATTATTTTACCAACCTTGGGAAGCACCTTTGTTGACAAATTTGGGAAGTACCAGTTAAGGTGAACCAAGTTAATGAAATGATTCCAAACTATTGCAGAGAAGCTGCAACAGATAAACAAGTGGTTTGAGGTCTCAGCTTCCAAACCACATAACAGACAATCAAATCTGGAATGTTAAAACCCTTTCTTAACAGCACTTCCTTTGTAAGGCATTTCTCCCAGGCTGCCACCCAAGAGAAGAATTTGACTTTTGGAGGTGCAGCAGCTCCCCAAATAGCTTTGCTTGGAAACTGCTGCCTGTGCTCTTCAACAAGACCTTTGTAGGACTCAAAAGAAAAAAAAATGCCTCACTGTGCCCACCTCCAGCTTCTTGAGTCCTCTAACTGCCGATTCTGGATCAAGGAGAGAAAATCAGCCACCTGTTCCAACCCCCAGTAATTGAAATTCCCTCTATAAAATAGGATTCCAAATGACCCTACTGCCTTTCGGTTGATAGCAGTCAGCAACCATTGCTTGTTGGTAATCAGCCACATTGAAAAGAATTGGGAATCTGTCCCTTAAAGTTCTGCCACAACACCAAGGATCTGACCAAAAGCTCAGTCTACTTCCATTACCAACCTTGTATTCAATCCCCTTCATGAAATAGGAGTATGCTTTGTAGATACCTCTCCATACTCCACATCCATAGGGGAGCTGTGAGTCCTCTGCATCCTAACCATTAGCATATTCCATACTTCTCAGCCAATAGTTTCCTCCATAGCTCATTTGGCTCTGCAAAGAACCTCCAGAACTACCTTCCTAATAAAGCTATATTAAACATTTTAATTTTTCCAATTCCTAAACCTCCATGAGAGAGAGGTTTACATGTTATCCCAGTTCACCAAATGATACTTGAGAGTCCTTCCACCCTGACCAAAGGAAATCTCTCATTTATATTTCTATCGTCACCACACCTCCGATGGGATTGGGAAGAGGGCATGTAATAAGCAGGTAGAGATGCGAACACTCTCTTAATAAGCATTATCATCCCTCACTTGGAAAGGTATCTTAGCTTCCAAGATGCCAACTTCCTATCCACCCTTTCTAATACTGAGTTCCATAAGCTTTTTGATGCGCACTTTGCCCCCAAAGGTAATCCCAGATATTTTGAAGGAAGGCTTTCAACCATGTACCCCAATACATCAGCCAACTTGTGTACATTTGGGAACTTCCCCCACAACCATCATCTCACTCCTAGCCAAAGTTGATTTTCAGACCTGAGACCACTTCAAACCAACAAACATAATAAGTATCTTAAGTTGAGAACCTGATTTTAGGAAGCAGTGCAGAAAAATACCGCTGTATCATCTGCAAATTGCAGAATGCAATCTTTGTCATTGTCACTAGCTTCAAAACCTTCCAGGAATCCCAGCTCTGTTCCTCTGGCTATCCTTAGGCCCTCCATGACAAAAAGAAAAAGAAGAGATCACATCAGCGCCCCACAGGCACTCTACATGCACATCTCAGCGTGCATTGGGAACATCTCCCGTACTTGTCAATGGGAGATGTTTCCACTACACGGTTGGGATGTGCCGTGGGGCACCGATGTGAACTAGAAAAAGAAGAGGAGAGAGTGGATCTCCTTGTCTCAAAACCTCTCTAACTTTTGAAATTGCCCTTCAGACTATTGATGAGAATTGAAAAAATGGGTGCAGTGAAACA